TCCATGGAGCTGCACAGAGTCGGACATGACTGAGGCAATTTAGCATGCAGTGAATATTTGCCCTTACTGTATTAAAGTCACCATGACCTCATGCTGATATTCCCAAAGCGAAGATGTTGGTATTAAAAATCTTATAACTGACTGGAACTGTTTCCCAATTTATGATAAACTCCAAACAAAATCTTCTAAAATATTGCATTCTAAATAGTTCTGCAACAGTGAAGCTGTGTTGAAAAAAAATTTTTTTTTCTTAGAAGAAATATATTCCATTTTCTGGGCTTAATGCAGTTCAAAGCAAAACAAAGCCAAAATGATTCCTTTCAAAGGAAATGGTATACTGTGAGTGAGTGCTCGGCGGCTTGTTTTTGACATGAGTTGTAAAGAAAATATTTATAATTTTTCCAAAACGACACTTGGTCCTCTGCCTGTCTACTTTTATTTTCCCAAAATGAAAGCTAAGTTTTAATTTGGTAGGCTATGCTGATGTGCATGTTCAGTTGTTTTAATCGTGTCTGACTCTTTGTGATTCTGCACTTTAGCCCGCCAGTCTCTGTCCATGGGATTCTCCAGGCAAGAATACTAGAGTGGGTTGCCATGCCTTCCTCCAAGGGATCTTTCCCACCCACGTTTCCTACATTGTAGGCGAGTTCTTTAAAAATATATTAGGAAAGTCCTGGATGAGTTGATCATATTAGAATTTGCAAGAATTGTGGTTCTTGAGTGAAAGCCCATGATAATTCATCTAATACAGATGTAATTTTGCCCAGCTTGTCCTGGGATTGTGTGTACAAAATAAACACAAATTTAGATGATTTGAATGGCTAAGGACCATCTTCCGTGTTCTCTGACAGCCTTCCTGGAGCAAAAGGATCAAAGAATTTGAAGCGCTTTCTGGAAGTGACTATCTTTGTCTATTAGAGTATCTTTATTAGCATATAATGTTTCAAAGTATTTCTTCACCTGAATGCCTCAAAGAAAATTTTTTTAAGGTTTGCAGTAGTGGTGATATGTAGGATTACATTTTTTTCTCTTCATAGATCTATATTATTAGTATATATACTAATATATATTATATTCATTATATAATGAATATATTATATAATGAATTATATAATGAATATAATATATATTAGTATTCAACTTCGTAGTTGACCATTACCTTATAAACAGGAATTCCTTTTACAAGAAAATAAATACTTGTTAGCTCGAAGATGCAACAGAATCCTCCAAATATTTGTTTTGGAGAAACAATTAAAATCTGATATCAAGGCCATTTATTATTTACTTCATGTATTTATTTCTGAGGCCAAAAAATGCCTTACCTTACTTAAGGTAAGGCACAGAAGGTACTGTATCACATGGTTGTGATTTCTTTCTGAGTCCTGATGTGAGGTATAGGCAAAGAACTGGGCTCCGGGGCTTCACACTTGCCACCAGTCTTCCCTCTGATTCTCACGGCTTCTCATGTTTCCCCACCTTCCCTTCCAGGTTGCTTTGATCACATAGCAATGCTAGAATGTCACTTTCTCTCTTCACCAAAAAGCAGAATTTTCATTCTTCTGGAGTATTTGTGTATAGCCAAGTGGGATTAGTTAACTAGATAGAGGCTCACTTTCATAAGATTGGAGGAGCAGATGAGTCACACAACAGCTGAACCACCAACCATGTGACTCAAGATGGGTACTGTTCCTGAGATGAGAACTCTGCCCACTTGCTGGTTTCTCGGTGGAAATTCCCTATGACAACCTAGACAGTGCCATCCTGCCTCACCTAATTTGTAGGACTTGGCCTTTTTCTTTTATGACACTGCTCCATGAACTCAGCTAGTTAGAATTTGGATAGGTATAAAAGGAAGATACTAATGGTATACTTCTGATCTCATGGTGCTGTTGAGAAGATTAAATAAAATACTTTAATAACATATTTGGGATTAAGGTTATTCCTGGACCCCTGGAAATAGTTAATAGACTTGAAATTAGAATTCTAATTTATCCCTGGTTATTGGCAAGGTTTTCACCCATATTTTCTTGAGAAATAATCAGACTGTCCTGCTTTTCCAGTGTTCTAGACAATTCTATAAGACTTCCTCTGATACCTCACTATAACTAACACAGGAAAATTTGCAAAAAGTAATAGTGTTTGTTAACTTTCAGAGACCAGTAGGAATTGAGACATACTTTCTTACTTCGAATTTGATATGTACGTTCATTTCCTGCCCAGAAACAAAGAATAGAAATTGGCCCTAATTGTGTTTCAGAACGCCAACTTTAGTAAAGTAGATTTTAGGTTTGTAAACTAACATGACTTTAAGTTTCTTGGGATAGCTGTATACAATTTCATGCTCTGTGTTTCAGAGAGGACACTTGGTTATGGTCATATGCCCACCACGTTTATACTTGGTCTTCTGTACTTTCTAAGTTGGTTCATGGGTTTCTATTATGAAATTGGGAGAAGATCCTACAGGCAGACCTGTCAGGTTTTCAGTTTCTTAGCTCTAACCTAATGTACCAAAATATCTTGAAATACCAGAGTTGACATTTTGACATGCACCATTCATACATACTGGGTAATTTAGAATTCAGTGAAAGAGTTTAATTATAATTTAAAATACTGCTCCAGTTTATTTCTTCATATTTTCATTTATTGTTTTGTGATTGCTTACAGGATAAAGGTACATTTAAAGTATTTTTACCATATATGCTTGCTCTCACTTCTGAGGGAAAAATAACCAAAAATTAAATCAAATATAACCTGTCGGATGTCTGAAGTAGGTTATGACCAAAGTCACTCCCTCTTGAAAAGGAAATGTGTGTAAGAGAAATTCTTACTTTGATAACATAATAAAGGTCTTTGAGAACAGGAACAGTATTTTCATCATCTTTTGGTTTATTGCTTTTTTTTCCTCCCCAACTATTAAAGTCATTCTGGATAGGAAATTCACATACATCATGGTGAGACAAATTTTGACTGAAGAATAGCATTTTTGTATCTAACACCCGGCTCTTAAATAAGATAAATGTAGGTTATCACTGTCCTGAATCATGAGTCCAAGGGATGGAATGAATAAGCAGAAAATTTTCTATTCTAAATGGAAAATACTTAAAAAAAAAAAAAAAAAAAGAAGAAGACATCCCAGAGTACAGTATAATTCTGCCAGGGGTCAGTTCTGACCTGAAACAGAACCAGAGGTGTCACTGTATGTGGGAACACAAAGCAAAGTGTGCGTTCTCTCTCTCTCTCTCTTTTTCTCCTGAACTTATTTGTGGGGGTGAAAGAGAATATTGCCATGTAATTTTTGCCATGCTTCATCAAGGAAAAGCAACCAGTTTGCTTCTAAAGAGCAACATTCCAGTGGATTCCCACTGATACATGATGCCATAAAAATACATTTGAACTAAATGTATACCTGATTATTGATTTTGATGAATACTTTAGTGCCAGAGGAGAAAGATTCAGGATCAAGTACACTCTCAGGTTCTTATGCCAGAGTCGAAGTGTCAGCCTCAAGGAAGTTGGAGACTTACCTTTGAGTGAAAAGGCCATTAATGACCAATAAAGTTAAGTATCTAGTTTGAATTCTCATCAGGAAATTGATCATGAAGGACATTGTTATATTACTATGAAACTATTTCTTCTAAGCCAAAAATACCTTGAAGAGCAATGAATACAAGTCTGTCACAACTAACAAACCAAATGTTAACTGGTGACACCCTTTTCTGAGCAATAGTTTTCCTTTAATGGGTCCTTCTTAATAATGAGATAGACCAAATCCTCCTTGCCTTTGGTCTTTGAAGATGTGAGTGCATATGTGAACATATATATGAATAGTGGAGTTTGAAGCTTGAGATTACTTTGTCAAAATTTGAGATTTGTGTGATTTTTTTTCCAGCTGTGTCATTTCTCTGGAATGTGTTTTAAAATTATGACACCTTTCACTAGCTCTCTTATAAATCTAAAATGGCTGTCACTGCCATTGTGTTCAGTCCTTGGTGTTTGAGCTGGACATGAGGAAGCAGATTGGTTTCTCTATGCAGTTGATAGTCTTTTTAATCACTGTTCTTTGATTTTAGCTTGGTATGTCCTTGGCTTACTACTGATCAGATACTTTAAATGATTCATTGTTTAAATTTATTTTATTTTTAATTGTGATGAAATACTTGTAGCATATGATTTACCACCTTTACCATTCTAAGGTGCATGGTTCAGTAGTGTTCTGAACCCTTTAGTTTGTAAGTAGAAGCCTCTTTCAGTTTTTATGCTTGACAAGCATCTTAGCGCTGCTGTAGCTAATTACCGTAGATTGAGTGGCTTGTCAGAGAAGGCAGTGGCAACCCACTCCAGTACTCCTGCCTGGAAAATCCCATGGACGGAGGAGCCTGGTGGGCTGTAGTCGATGGGGTCACTAAGAGTCAGAGGCGACTGAGCGACTTCACTTTCACTTTTCACTTTTCACTTTTGTGCACTGGAGAAGGAAATGGCAACCCACTCCAGTGTTCTTGCCTGGAGAATCCCAGGGATGGGGGAGCCTGGTGGGCTGCCGTCTATGGGGTCTCACAGAGTCGGCCACGGCTGAAGCGACTTAGCAGCAGCAGCAGAGTGACTTATAAACAATGACAATTGATTTCTCACAGTTCTGCTAGGGTGAGAAGTCCTCCATCAAGGTGTGGGCAGATTTGGTATCTGGTGAGGACCTGCTTTGAGATTATAGGGGGCTGGTTTCTGGCTTCCAGGGCACATGGGGAAGGGGGCCAGAGAGGTCTGTGCTGGGGTCGCTTCTATGAGGGTGCTAATCTGTCGATGAGGGCCCCACCTGCATGTCCTAATCACCTCTGGAAGGCCACCCACCCCACCCTGCCCCCTAATACTGTCACCCTGGGGTTTAGAAGTCAAGCCATGAATGTTGGGCGGGGGGGGACGGACGGATGCAGACATTCTGTCTAGAGCCTCGAGTCACTCTTTGTCGTTTTTTTTTGTGTGTCCTGTTGTTACAGAACTCCAAGATGGGAGGCAAACTGAGCAAGAAGAAGAAGGGGTACAATGTGAATGATGAGAAGGCCAAGGACAAAGACAAGAAGGCCGAAGGAGCCGGCACAGAAGAGGAGGGAACCCCGAAGGAGAATGAGACCCAGGCGGCTGCCGAGGCCCCAGAGGTGAAGGAAGGCAAAGAGGAGAAGTCGGAGAAGGATGCCCAGGACGCCAACAAGCCCGAAGACAAGGAAGGCGAGAAAGACGCAGAGGCGGCCAAGGAAGACGCCCCGAAGGCAGAGCCTGAGCCGACGGAGGGGGCCGAGGGCAAGCCGGAGCCCCCCAAAGATGCTGAGCAGGAGCCGGCGGCCGCCTCAGGCCCCTCCGCCGGCGGCGACGCCCCCAAAGCTTCGGAGGCCGAGGCGGCGGAGCCCGCGGCCCCCACGAAGGATGACAAGAGCAAGGAGGGAGGGGACCCCACAAAGACTGAGGCTCCCGCCGCTCCTGCCGCACAGGAGACGAAAAGTGACGGGGCCCCAGCTTCAGACTCAAAACCCAGCAGCACTGAGGCTGCCCCATCCTCCAAGGAGACGCCGGCAGCCACGGAAGCGCCGAGTTCCACGCCCAAGGCTCAGGCCCCCGCAGCCCCCGCAGACGAGGTCAAACCTGCCGAGACCCCGGCAGCTAATTCCGATCAAACCGTAGCAGTGAAAGAGTAACAAAGGACAGCCTATGGAAAAAAAAAAAAAGAATACAGCTTAACGACGACCTGTCTCTCTTGTCTCTCTCTCTCTCTCTCTGTCTCTCTCTCTCCTATACTAACTTGTTTCAAATCGGAAGTAATCATATGTATTGCCCAAGAATAAGGATGTGGTCCCATCAAAGGGAGGGAGGGGGTGGGGAGAATCCAAATAGTATTTTTGTGGGGAAATATCTAATTATACCTTCAGTCAACTCTACGAATCAGCCCTGGATTTTCAAGATCAATGTCTGAAAGTGCAGTACATCTTTTGTACCTGAACTGCTATCACATGCGCTCCTGCCACTAAAGATCTGAACATCTTGTCTTTCTGCAAGGGGCGGGAGGTGGGGAGTGATACGTTCGATTCTTCCCGCAGGGCTGTGCCAAGGCAATCAGATGTTTATGAAAGCAGTATTTTCTGTGTTTCCTTTTTCATTTACAGCCTTTCTTATTTTGATATTTTTTTAATGTTGTGGATGAATGCCAACTTTCAGACAGCCCACCGTAGCCTGTCCACATGTATCTTGATGCCAATACTCCATTTTTCCTCCCCTGGTCTTTTTGGGAATAACAAACATTCTCTCATCCTACTTAGCCTCCCTAGATTTCTCATGACGAGTTAATGCATGTCCGTGGTTGGGTGCACCTGTAGTTCTGTTTATTGGTCAGTGGAAATGAAAAAAAATTTTAAAAAGTCTGCGTTCATTGCAGTTCCAGTTTTCTCTTCCATTCTGTGTCACAGACACCAACACACCACTCATTGGAAAATGGAAAAACATAAAAATTAAAAAAAAAAAAACAAAAAAAATGTACAATGGATGCATTGAAATTATATGTAATTGTATAAATGGTGCAACAGTAATAAAGTTAAACAATTAAAATGAAGTCAAGAAGACTACTGGTTTTCTTTTTACCACCATTACCCTTCCCTGCTCCTGGGTCATTACCTCAGTAGAGAACAGAACAATTATCAGGAGTTTTCTTGGGTATAATTGAATAGAAAAAAAAAAAGCAGGATCTTCAAGGTTATTTGTTTAAAAATGAGCTGGATCAGTGTCAGTCTATGGAGATAAACTCTATAAAAAATGAGGATGTGATTAAAAGTCATATTTTGAATCATATATTGTGAGACAATAAATGGATTTGAACTTGAAGGCTGGGTAGAAGAGAATGATGAGGTCTTATAGATAGGTAGCATGCATGTAAGTTGTGAAGCCACTGAAGGTCATTTTATCTGTTTGTGTACCATATTCATGGTAGCTGTGGAGTGAAAGCAAACCTGGAACCGACCTTTGCAGTGACTGGATTCCTGTTCCGGTTTTGCACTGATGGCTTACGGCTTTTAAGTCACTTCTCATTGCAGGCTTCTCTCTTACATGTAAGAGGGTTAAAGCGAACCCGTTTCACTTCTGAAGTACTAATTTGTGTATATGCCTGGTGATGATTTTATAGGGTGGACAGGTATGTCCCAACAGAAGGTATGTCACCTCTGTTCCTCGATTTCTCCCCCAGGGCTGGAATGGCGACCCTCAGTTTGCCCATATTCCATAGATGGGGAAGGGGTTGGGAAATTGGTATCAGCAGTGGCTTTTATGGAGCAGTGAGGCAGGTGCATCAGTCCTGTAACGTAAGAAAAGAAGGAATTGTCTCAAATCTCTTGATAGTGGTTTGGGTCTTTTGCAATTGGTTATTAAAAGCCAAATCTCACATATAAAGCACTTAAAAGTGAAGTGAATCCTGGAAAGTGAAAGTCACTCACTCGTGTCAGACTCTGTGACCCCACAGACTGTTAGTCCATGGAATTCTCCAGGCCAGAATACTGGAATGGGTAGTAACCTTTCCTTTCTCCAGGGGATCTAACCAACCCATGGGTCAAACGCAGGTCTCCCGCATTGAAGGTGGATTCTTTACCAGCTGAGCCACAAGGGAAGCCCAAGAATACTGGAGTGGGTAGCCTATCCCTTCTGCAGGGGATCATCCCAACCCAGGAATCCAACCAGGGTCTCCTTGCATTGCAGGCAGATTCTTTACCAACTGAGCTATCAGGGAAGCCCTGAAGTTAATCCTAGACAAAGATTTCTCATGATTGAATCATGATTGAGTCCATCAAATGGCAGGTTTGGGAAGAGTGGGTTGGGTGGTAATAGAGTAATAAATAATAGTAATAGAGTAATAAATAGACCCTAACCTAGGAAATTTTCTTTAAGATTTGTGAAGGGCCAGTATACTGGAATTAATTCCCAAAATTAGTTCATCCTCATCCACTAGTGAACAGTGGATGAGGAGGGACCTTATTTGGTTTTTATGGGTTACATCACACAGGATTCAAAAGAGAAAGAAGTCTCCTCCAATTATCATCTCAGTAGTCTAGTCTGTACCATACTTAAGATGTTGCCAGTGGGTTATACTGGAGAAGAAGAAATGGTGAAACGATACTAGTGTTCAATGCGGGTTGTTTCTATAGTGAAATAAATTTGAACTCTTAATGCTTGAAAGGACAGCAAGAAATGTGTAAACACATTAACCACCAAGCAGCTGTTTTAGGTAAGAAAAATAGCAGAGAAATGTCCACATTATTACCAGTGTGTCCTGGCCTATGTAAAATAGCTCGGGGGTGGATTGGTGGCACTGGTAGAGCGGTAACAGATTCTTTGAACCATGGAAGATATTTAAATGATTACTAATATTAAGTACTATGCACTTCTTGCAGATAGACATGCTCGTTGATGAAAGTCATATAAATTCACCCTCTTCATCCTTTTCTCATAAAACACTCACTAGGCTTTTGGGTGATTAGAACAATCAAATCAGTCTCCTGGATTAGTGTTTATCGCTATAAATTGCTGTTGAGGGATAAACGAAAGCAAGGAGGCATTTTTCTTAGTTTTAGTTTATTTACACTTAAAGTTGTGTTGGAGAATTTAAGAATTTGAGTTATTTTTCTCTTTTCTAACTCCAGTCAGTGTTCCAGCAATGAAAAATTATCAGAAATGTGGTCCCCTAAATACCAAAATCAGAATTTCAACCCAACCATGGCTCATGACATTTAATTTTACTGTAGTGAAGAAAACCTTGGTTTGAAGTTGTGTTTTCAGCAGAACGTGTTTTGTGTGTGGGAGTGATGCACTCAGCCCGGAAATGTTGAGCGTCCATTTTCACTCTGGAGGAAGCTCAATTGCTCCCTTCTCATGAATGGTTTTAAATAAAGGGAAGGTCCTGCACAGACATGTGCGTCACTGGCAAGTTATTTGGGGACTCACCACATGTTTGGCTCACCACTTCATGCGTGTTTAACATCTGCTTTATGGAGAAGAAAGGGTTCCAGGGGCTAACACTCATTGGGTGCCTAAGTACCCACAGCTAAAACCAACGGAGAGTGAAATGAACTTTTCCACAGTGACCAGCTTTGTCCCTTCACCTTGAATGTCCGGTCCAGTAGCTGACACTGCCTCTGCATGGTAGGGATGGACTCAAGTCCTCAAGAGCTGGTGTGTGCCATGGTGATCCCGCCTGGCCTCAATCCTAAGAGCAGGCCATCTTCAGCCTGTCGGTGGTCACTGAGGCAGAGGCCTCACATGGCTACCATCCAGGAACCCTACTTGCCGTTCTTAGTGGAGTCAAGGCCAAGGTTCGGTATACACTAGGCAAGTGGTTGTCAACCACGTGGTGCTGATAAAGTCTAGACATTCTTCAGTTGCCTCAGTTGGGAAAATTATTAGGTGCAGCAGCTACATACTTTGTTCTCATAAAACATCCCAAAATCTTAACTTTCATTAAATAAAATACCATGCTCTATTGAAACACATTGTCTTCATTGTAACACTCAACATATCAATTGATGTCCATCCACTGTCAAAACTGGCTTAGGAACACAAATTGACATTGTTTCTTTACAGACATAAGGCTTTGATATACAGTAAATTTCACTCAAATTTTATTTATGGAAAAAAAAAATCTAGAGAATTTACTACTTTGTTGTAATCCAAATTCTTTCCTCAAGATTGATGCAATTAGTCCTTATTCTTTTGATTTCTGTTTTCCAGCATAACAGTGCAGTCGTTTTAGTCTTTATTTTTAACCAATTTATACAATATTGGGAATCAGATGCTTGGAAGATAATTTTCTTATCATCAAATCTGAATGAAATCCTTGTTGGGTAGAGTAACCTTGATTTAGGTTTTCCTCTTTCATCACTTTAAATATATCCTTCCACTCACTTCTGGCCTGCAGAGTTTCTGTTGAAAAATCATCTGTTAGCCTTATGGGGATTCCTTTGTATGTTATTTTTTGCTTTTCCCTTGTGGCTTTTGATAGTTTTCCTTTGTGTTTGATATTTGTTAGCTTGATTAACACGTGTCTTTGTATATTTCTCTTTGAATTTATCCTGTGTCGGACTCGCTGGGCTTCCTGGATTTGGGTGACTATTTCCTTGTTGGTGGGAATGTAAATTGATATAGCCACTATGGAGAACAGTATGGAGGTTCCTTAAAAAGCTAGGAATAGAACTACATTATGACGCAACAATCCCACTACAGGGCATATAATCTGAGAAAAGAACAAGTGAAAGATACGCATGTACCCTGGGTGTCCCTGGTCCCTCAGTTGTAAAGAATCTGCCTTTTGTATCCCTGAGTCAGGAAGATCCCCTTGAGGAGGGCATGGCAACCCATTCCAGTATCCTTGCCTGGAGAATCCTATGGACAGAGGAGCCTGGCAGGTTAGAGTCCAAAGGGTCATGAAGAGTTGGACACAACCAATGTGACTGAGTGTGCACACATGTACCCCAATGTTCGTTGTAGCACTTTGAACAATAGCTAGGGCATGGAAGTGATAGCTTACAGTGAACGATATCAGATTCATGATCTCACAAAAAAGAAGATTTAGCTTCCGGACCAGGGACCAGGCTTGATCCCTCAAAAGGTTTTGTATAGCAGTTTTCAGTTTAGTTCAGTTAAGGCACTCAGTCATGTCTGACTC